TTGGACTTGTATTGTCTTTTTCCTGTAGGAGAAGGAACTTATCAGTCACCTTTTTTGTTTATTGTGTATGGTTGTTTTTTGAAAGTGTAGTTTATGTAGTGTACCTGGGTAATATTGTTGAAGACCTCCTTGTAAACTATATTGCGAGTGTGGTGTGTGTATAGGGGGTCTTTTTCTTTTATCATAAAGTGAAGTCCTTCGGGTTGGGTAACTCTTGATGCAGCTACGTAAAGTTGGCCATGGGTGAACACAAGATTGGGGAGGTAGATTCCCACATGATTCAAGGATTGACCTTGACTTTTATTTATTGTCATGGCGTAGCATATGCGCAGGGGATATTGTCTTCTCTTTAGGACGAAAGGGTATTTTGCATCGTTGGAGGTTATTATTATTCTTGGGATGTCCACTACAGTGCCAATGTTCTTTCCAGTTATTATTCTTGCACGTATTACATGGTTACCCAAGTGATGGATTACCAATCTCGTCCCATTGCACAGTCCAAGGCCGGGGTTGATGTTGCGAAGCATTAACACAGGTATGCCTTCCTTGAGAGTTAGTACGTGAGGGGGCATTCCAGGGAATGTTAGTGTGTTGAGAAATTCGGTTGGGTAGCCTATTTCCACATCGTTTGTATCCTGGGATGCCTTGCAAATCTCATCGCAGCTCTTGTATGACTTTTCTTCTCCAGGTACTTGTTTGAATATTTGGTGGTTGAGTTCCTCTGCAGTGTCATTTAACGGGGTCAAGATTGCTCTTTCTTTTAGGTAGGATTCTGTATTCCACTTCAGCCTGAAGTCTGGGTACGTGTGGCTGATTATGTCTGAGGTGTGATCTGTTTTTAGCATCACACAGTGTTTTTCAGGTATCTCTATCCATGTTGGGTCATTTTCGTCTTGTCTGTTCTGGGCGGGTAGTGTGCCATTGCCCATTTTTAATAACCACTCGTTAAATGCTTTGTTTTTGCTGATTGTTGTCCCATCAGTGCAAGTGTCTTGGATTCTCATACTGGTTTTGAGTGTGTAGACAACGCAGCTTTCCCAAATGTATGAGCGGTTC